GGGGGGGGGGGCCAGATCGGCCCCCCCCCCCCCTAAATCCGCCCCTGTCAGTGACCAGAGAAAAAAAACATAGAGCAGTTTTCACTTAAATAAATATCCACAAAACCTTATAAAATAATTGCATTATTCATGAGTTTGTATAACTGTTTTATATAGGATCACATGCATCCTGATATGCCAGTCTCCATTCTGGAAATTGACTCATTTCACTGCAAATCAATTAGAAATATTTTAGCCTGCTGTTGGTTTTGTATAGTTTGATTAACATGACTTTTTGTTTTAAACATATCTAAGCCTGCAATAATCAGTGTTAATGATTTCTTTCGGAATAATATTAGGTGAAGACCACAGCTACACCTGAAGAATATTCCCCTCCTCAAGAGCCAATAAAATGGTGGATATATGTGGCTGCAATTGCTGGTGGTCTGCTACTGTTTATCCTGTTAACTGTTTTGCTATGGAAGGTATGTATGTTGTGTCACCTAGCTACTATCTCAAATTGCACATTGAATTTTCTGTTGGTTCATTGGTTCAATAATTAATGCTCCTATGCATATGTGGCCTTTAACTAATGGTAAATTTAGTGGCTGTGCAAATGTAACATATGATACTGCAGTTCTGATTTTGTTTTTCACGATTCAAGATTAATTTATTGACTTGTCCATAAAAAGATACAAATGTATATAAAAATAGAAATTTTTTGTTTGAAAACACACATTACCAAGTACAGTTTAAAATAATGAATATAAAAATAAAAGTAAAACACAAAATATATATACAGTATGTTAAAAAATTTAATGTTAAAAAGATATTAAGAATCATTGTAAAAAATTGTAAAAGACCCTAATGTAAAAATGGACAATCGTTAAAAAGTAAAGAGAGAGAGAGAGCGAAACAAAAGATTCTCAGCAATAAAATTGTTAAAAAGAATTAAAAAACTGGGTAAAATGTGCTGTATAAAATTTATCTATGGACTTTGCTGTTAAAAATTCTAATGGAACTTTGTACCAATTTCTTCAAATGAACATGTTTTGCTTTATGAAATTGATTTGAGATTGAAAAGAAAATGATGATACAGTAGTAGTGATGATGATAATGGTGATAATATTGAGGATGGTGATGTTGGTAATGATAATGATAAGTCAATCAAATGAAATAGAAATTATGGTGACAATGAAAAAAAAAACAATAAACCGATTATACCTGCATTATGATAGTGACGGTAATGATGACAAAATAATGAGGATGATTATAATAAAATAAGAATTAAGATATTTAAAATAACATAAATAATGAAAAAAATAACAATAAACCAATTATAAAATTATTATGATAATGATGGTAATGATGACAAGGTAATGATTATGTTTTTCTCTGTGGAATTAATTTTAAATGGACAAAAAATACTCCTGAGTAGTTTTAGTTGAAGTACTGTATTAAAATCATGAAAATTTGTCTTAGCTATGAAATAACACTTGTTCTACATTTCTGTTTTCAGTGTGGATTCTTCAAAAGGAAAAAGTACCACACGGTGAACCAAGGTGAAAAAGAATAGACACGCACATCAAATAGTGTACACTGCACGTATATACACACACATACACATGTGCATGTGTTGTATTTGCATTTGTTTTCTGTGTTATATGTTGCATGTCTGTTATGAAACTAGGCAAAAAAAAAAAAAATTTTGTTGTCCAAGCAAAATTACTTTAGAAATTGGGGTCAGTTAGTCAGGATTTTTATAAAATAATAATAAGCGCACATATCCACTGCAATGCTTAAGGCCTAGGCCTAATTTTAGGGTCATTCTGAGATTTTGGGTTGGTCGGACTTGGGCAACACAAACATTTTTTGGCCTGATGACAAAGCGCAATTATGCTAATGTTTTTATATGAATGTTTCTTTAAAAAATAAACTTACTAGTACTACCACCACTACTGTTTATCTTAATGTTACATATAAAAACTTAGCAGTTACACAGGCATGTGTTCATTTTTTGAGGAGCTAGCATTTCTTCTTGTTATTGTTGGAAATACAAACAATCTTTCTGTTGCAACTTGTGATTGGATGTCATAAGCACATAACCACATCTATATACAAACATAATCACTGATTAATAATAGACTTAGCATGCCACTTTTTTACTCCACTGGGCACGTAATGAAGTGCGAAAGCAATTGTGGTGTGAACACTCAAATACATTTGTGAACACGGAAGTATGACTGTATATGGGACTAGCATTTATTTTAGTAAATATACTACTGTTTATGTGATTGTTTATGTCATTGTTTATAGGTCTGTTTTGCTTGTTAATATTTAAATAATATAAAACCATGCATTTTAAAATAATGTGTTGATGTATATATTATATTGCTCACCAATTGACAATGTTGGCTAACATGTGGGAATAGTTAATAATAAGGCCAAATAAAGAAAAATCCTTTTTTTTACCTGTCCTTATTTAAATGAATTCTAAGAATATTTAGGCAAATTTTGCATTGAACGGTTTGATAAATGTTATTTTGTATATGTTATGTTTACATGTGTTTTTAAAATTGTGTTTACATATACTGTATTATTTTGTACTGAATTTGTATTAGAATTGAATTAATTTTAGTGATGTGGTATATATTTTGATAACCAATGGACCAATAATTTTATTACTGTATTATGCAGATCATGATTACATTGCATGCTTTAACCAAAGAGCATAGAATTGCAAGGAGTCTGACTGCCTGATTTTGCATGCACGCAATGAAACAAAAAACAAGATAGAGGGCGTCCTATTAGAGTAGAGTTCGAACATGCATTCTATAACATGCAGCATACGTTTGATACGCACGCCTTTTATGTTATTTTGAAGGATGCCCTCTAGTTTATGGTAGTACTTCTAGAGATAGGATTTGTCCCGAGAGACCTCTTGTAGTTCTATATTCTTTGCTTTAACTTTAAAAATGTACACAATAGAATTGCTAATTTTAAGATGGCTGGCCATAAACAAGTATTAAAATCTATTTGCTCTAATTAAATTTGTAGAAACTGTATGTGTGTAAATTGATATGCATGGTATTATAGTAAGTGTAATTGTTAAAGGTTTATTTTATTTATCTTATCCAGTCAAGAACTATATTAATATGTGTCTTTTCCAGTTTTAACTCTTTTTAAAAAAAATTATGTTATTTTCACAGTATTAAAATGGTGTCAAATATTGAAATACACCCCTACTTACATATGTTCCTTGGGATACCAATATACTGCATTTCATGGCCTAATTAGTTCTACCGATAAACATAAAACTTTTACTCTTTTATTCCAGCTACTTTGGCAGCTGCCAAGACAGGTAATCCTAGCAGCCATCTTAGCTGCCTAACCAACTAATAGTTGGCCCACTAGTAAATAATTGCCTCACCAAAACTTACTTGCCCTACCAACACCTATACTTATTCAACACCTTTTTGCTCACCACCTAGATGGTCTACTAGCATCTAGGTTCCCCACTAGTCACTTGCCCCACCAGTCACTTGTCCCATAATGTATACAATTGTCAATATAGTTTACATTGTTGCCAAATAGGCCTACTTGTTGTCCATTAATTTCTAGGTTGCTACCACTTGACTATATATACTTTTTATTGTTATACTAGTACCTAATTGCTATTTTACTTGCTACTCCAAAACTACCATTTATGATAACACAGATACTATATAATAATTATATAATTATGCTTCAGTGGTAATGATGGCAGTACAGTATATAGCGTAGTCGGTTAATACTAGTGTTAACTATGGGTATGCATGCTTTGACTTTAAGGGAATTGTATCCCTGGTTCTAATCTATCATATTCAGATTCTCTCTCAGTAAAATTACAGTTGTAGTCCACTCACTCTCATTCAAAAATGAAGTTTAAGCACTCTTTGGAAAAGTGCAAAGAAATCCATTTGTTAATACTGCTCAATTCACTATCAGCGATGCACTGCGTCTGTTGCACACTTTCTCCGGGGTTCTTCCTTGTACTGCTTATTGCATCATCCTCTTAAATATAGATTATAGTTTAATGTCTTTTGGAAAAGCAACACACCGGTATAAGCCATTGCTCATGTTGTGTACAACATGGTTCACATGCATATTAAAGAACAAAGCGTACACATTTTGAAAAACACCAGGAATTGCCTTTTTGTGTTAAAACCAGGAGTTGCATTGCAGGTGCTGTGCCCCCCTCCCCCAAGGTGCTATAAGCAAAATTTCTTAACTAGGACAAATGAATATGTTGTTGATTCACCATCTATCAACACATTCAAGGACAGGGTATCTGTATTCACATCTGATAATTTTCTCAAGTGAACATAATTAACCACCATGCAGTGTGAATATACTCATACAAGGTTTATGCACATTATAGGATGATGATTATGATGCTTCACTTTTACTTAATAAAAATAAACTGTCCAAAACTTGGTGCTATTATTATATAGTAGGTCTACCTTGCCAGTGCAGTACACCCATCATTTAATATCAGATTTCCTCTGTAATTATAATCAATCCTCCTTTAACAATTCTCTAATTTCACTCACTACCTCATTATTATTCAGGGTCTCTCCTAAAAATTACTTCCTAGCTCTTTTGAAAGTTTAAAATTTTGAACTGCATTATGAATTCTCTATGCTGAAACTGTGAACAGGCTAGCATAACCATTAACTTTAGCCAATCAACTTTGACCCGATTTACACACAACAAAATGTTACATATGATTCCTACCGAAACACTTTGGTCTTCATACAAGTGAATTAAAACCTTGGTAAAAGTCAATAGCATATTTGATACGCAGGCAGTTAAGATCTTATGCATTTACACAGACGCAATTTAGCAGAAGACACATACTAATGTTCTGTAGCATATGTGTAAAGTTTTTTTTCTTGTGTGAATCGGGTATAAGTTCATCTCCATTATGGCTCAATTTCTTGAAAATACTGTATATACTCCTATAAGTAATTGTCTTGTATATCAATACATTTATAAATTCTGATGTTTGTTTAATTCATTTAAGTTTTAATTTCCAGAAAAATGATTTGAGGATTATTTGGTAAAAAGTGATGTTTTTTTTAATTGTTTGTTGATCTTAAATTCTGCCTTCCGATAGGTTGATGATTCATAATGACGTCTGCTTCCCTCAACCATCACAACTGAGCGTTGTAAACTGTACTCGCTGTGCTCACACATCCCACCTGTCAACTTGCTTTTCATATTTTTGTACGCATATGTAGTTTGATACTAAATCGGTGCTGAATAATATTAAAACATGTAAATATTTCCACATATACTAATTCCATTAGAGTGGTTCTCTCATGATGTGATGTTATAAAATTTTAGCCCAGATATATGTAAGGGTTTGACCATGAAATGAATACTTTGATAATTGATTTTATGATACTAATACAGTAGTATATATTTTTTGAGTACTTTGCACAAATTTGAGTGCTTCCTGTCCTATTGTTTATTCCTTGTTTCTTAAAGGCTGATTTTCTCAAAAGCTCACACCTCTGGATATATCTATTTTAGGAAAGCTATTCAAAAATAACATTAAAGATTATAATGCTATCCACCCAAATATGCTATAGATTCAATTTTTTTATTTCCCAACCATGAGAATCATTTGTGGTTAGACCTCGCATATTAAATGCATGTTGGAATAAAACATCCACAGCACTTCTTCCTTTGATTGGCTGCATATACCTTTTATACATGTTCATTGTTATGCCAATGCAATATTTGAGAGAGCCATGATTAACTTTAAAAAAATATATATTGCCAAATGTTATCGCTATTGTAATTTTAGGAAATACTGTAGTATTTAAATTATTAATGAGAAAGATAGAACTTGTAATTAGTGAGTAGAACAATACATATTAAGACATTTCAAATTTATTCAATATTTTTCCTGTCAGTATCTTTAAAATAAAGTGGTAATAATGTATTTTAAATTTATATTTATTACTTTTGGATGTCCACATAACTTATTTACCATATCTAGAGGCTGTACAATATAGAATGATATTTTTAAGCTGTAGAAATGTTTTGTTTTGTAAATGTGGACAGAATTTGTTTTTAGTAGGCTTTGTAAACAAACTGTTTTCTAATAAATTTACAAGCTGCTTTACACATTAAATCATGTGTTAGAATGGTCATTAAATTTGTTATTTCTAAATGTGTCTATCATTTCTAATTACACATTAATATTTAATACATTGCACCAGGTAAAAATATTACATTGCAAAAGTAGACCCTTCATCATCTTCTTGGAAGAACAATTAAGGATTGTTTTTTACACAATAATTACATACGTTCATGTCATAATTTTTGTGAGCCAACTTCATTATTAAGATGTGTCCCCACTATGAAATCATATAGTATATAGTGACATAGTATAATGTAATATGTCTATACTTAAGTAAAATTACATGACATCATTATGCCCATACACATCACACAAATTTGTTGCATTACCTTTGATAGTGTAGACAGACCTGTTCAAATGATACAGTATACACTATTTTCACCAAATTTGAAATGAAAATTTCCTGGCAACTAAAACCAGGGGACATCCAGAGGCATTTTGCTTAGTTGCCAATATTTATCTGTGGCTGGTGCACAGCTTTCTTTCTTCTTGTAGTCAACAAAGCCTAGTCTTTGAAAACAAAATGCCACAAAAAAAAAGAAAATAGGGGTGCATATATCCTGCAGTGTTTTTGGTTTTGTTACTGCTGCTCTTCTGGATGTCTCCCAGTGAAAAGTTGCGAATCTTCAGACACTGGCAGCGCTGTTTCAAACTACACCCGATAAAATGGTGTATATCTTGAGCTGCTCACACTTTTCAGTGGGTGTGTTGCAGCATATCTCATCTAGATACCTCAGTAAAAGTTTTAACTCAAGTATGACAAAAAAGGGACTCATTCAAAGACATAAGACCCAATAGAAAATGTAATATGATCTACAAATGCTCGTGGGGTTATAAAAGCAAGTCTACCATAATTTTTTATAAATGTCATAAATGTATTATATATAAGATACTAGGGTTAGGCATAGGATGTTAACACATAATACTGGTCCGAGTATAATTTGAAAACCATGGATCTGACATGCACTGACAGTACATACAATATAATAAAGCCAGGCTCAACTAAACTATCAAATTTTCTTTGACAAACAACTGTTGTATGCCCATATATAGTCACAATAGGCATGCCACATTTGTTAAAGTTGGATAGTCTCGACAGGGAATTGGAATATATTTTCAACAGACATAGGTAATATGCATGATATGTTTCATCAGATATGTCTGAAAACAAACATACATTATCGGACCAATGCTGATCAAATGTTGTTCAGACTAATAAACAAAATTCTCGGTGTGTGCTCTATAAGAACATGAACCAGTCAAGCCCTTTCTGATGTACAGTGTGATCATAATTCAGTGTTCATGACATTTTTCATACCATCCGACTGCATGTCTCGTCTTGGTGGTTTGACTGGTTTAATAGTGGCTAGCATTTTCCTAGCGTACGGGTTCTCATGAAGTCCAGCCTTCCTGAGGGCCTCCTCCATTCGTAGCCTTGGGTCTGCTTGCACCTGTAAAGTCACCAAAAAGTTAACATGCTAGATAACTATTTTAGTATTCTGAAATTGCTTGTGGAAACCTAATCACTTATATGTGTGCCCCAGTGAGCCACATCACAAGGGCAGAGGTCATTATTTCCTAAACATTTTGTTCTACTTTAACCATTCTGATATATATATATATATATATATATATCTATTGGAGTGAATTGAATAAATAACCATTGTTGCTGTTTACAAAGAATTTTAAATATGACAAAGCTCACAGTCTCTGAGGTAAAGCTGACTAGATCAAAGAGAGGCCTCTGGATGTTGATGTCCTCTTCAACTCCAATCCCCTTCTTTGCATTTGATGACTGTAAAGAAAAAAATAATCAAAAAAATGATTAAAAATCTTTGATTATTAATTTAACTCTTGCTTTTATAACAAGCCTTACCTTTAGGCCCACAATATTTTATAACAGAATATCACACTAAGCCACTTTGAAAACATGATGAGGAAAAGCTTCTTTTTGTAATTTATCAAAATTCAATTCAATGGTCAGTAGTAAAACATTAAGGGTGGGGATTGTGTGGGATTGCACCCTTGTGTTCATAACATAGAGTACCACAGTCGTGTCGTCACAACACCAGGTGGCGCTGGTTACTGTTACCAGACGTTGGTTACTGTTCAATACACCTGAATGTCTTCATAGGCTTTCTGGAATAGGCATTTAAAACTTAATAATTTTATCATCAAAATGTACTAAAAACACAAAAGCTCGCATTATATTAGTTATCGAACACACATTTAATCACCAGTTTACAAAGAAAAATTAAGATATAACATCTTAATAATTACATTAGAAATTGGGATCAATGGTTTGTCAGTGGAGACAAGGTCCGGTTGAACGCATTTTGTGTCGCCAATAGCAACGGAGTAGTATCACACGGTATTGTGATGTAACACTGTAGTACTTTAAACTCCTTTGCAAAATATTGTGTAAACAATTAGATTTGCATTTAATACTCACCACTGTATCTTGCATCATTCTCACAGGGTCATAGTCTACATCAACTTTAACCTAAAACCAAAGGTCAAATTGAAAGGTTAAAGCTCATCATTGTTTTATCATATTTTTAAAGCTGAATCAGCTGATTAGAAAAGGTATTACAATACGTAAATAATGTAAAGTAACATTTAAAAAAATTAAATAATGCAAAATAAATATATAAAATGTGTAAAGAGCAAATCATGTTACAAATTTAACTGAGTATAATGTTAAATTTAACAGTACCTGTTGGCGCAGGGCATCCAAACGCTGTTCTCTTTTTAATTCTTCCTCGATTTGAAGTTTCCGTTCTTCTTCTTTCATCTTTTCTCGATCCCTCATGAGATTCTCACGAAACTCAACCCTGGAAAAGAAAAGTGGGAATCAGTTCCTAACATGACAACACCAGGCAACATACTATGAAATTCCAAAAAAATCAGGTCAGGTTTATTTTTTTTTTTTACAGATTTTTTGAAAGTTTCCTCCAATCAAATACTTGATATTACAAATTTGGTCACGCTCTACAAATAATGTTAAAAAAAAAAAAAATCCCTTCTGAAATCAGCATTTAATACAATATTTTAAGAGAGGCATTCATTTGTTGAATGAATTGTTGTATGAATCAGACCATAGATGTACGAAAAATCATTCAAATAGGAGGCCTAAGTTTAGGAAACGTGGGCACGATGCATGCAATGGCAGAATCTCTCCCACGCTTGTTTCTCTAAAATTTTTAGCAGTACATGACGGAATCTCAAAGATTGTATTCATTATGTTTTCACTTAAGTATTACAGACCCAGGTTACTCAGGTACAGTCTTCATTTTAAGCTCAACCTTGCAGCTATGCACTGCACAAAGGTGGTTAGGTATATGATGCTTCTTAAAAATTGTTTGTCAAACAAAGTTGAAATCTATCATAATGTAGCTAACCTTTGTTGATCATGAACTGCCTGCTCTGCCATTTGTTCCCGTAAGCTAGCAAGTCGTTTTTCATCCTCCTCTCTCTGCTTTTCCTGGGCTTTTGCCAATTTTTCATGAAACTCATCAATCTAAAATACATAGGTAATGTTTTACATTTTGGTTTTTATTCTTTTTCAGATAATGTGGACTGACAAGTTAATATCAGGCAAAAAGAAGCATTAGGTTAAGCATACAGTTCGCCCTCCAATTCGAGACCACCTATGGGATCTGAAAATTTGGGGCGGTGGTCTCGGGGTTCGGTCTCCAAATAGAGGGTTAGCTTTGTGTTAAAAGATTAAAGATTGTTGTTTGGTTTGAAATTAGAGAGATCGTGAATTGAAGGGTGCACTGTACATACATACCCCCAGACACAACGCACACACAAAAACAGGTTTAATGCAGCCAGTAATCACAGATTAAATTCAGATTGGGTATTAATATTATATTTCTCTTATCATGGTGATGGGTGAATATTTTTGTCTCTATTTTGTTGAAAATATGTTCAACAACCTGGTATTAAGATTATCAAAATTCATGAAAACCCTTTAAATTGCTAAATTGCCAGTATAGACATGGAGGATGCTTGCCCTGAACTAGGAGGGCACCCCCCCCCCCCATGGGTAGGGTTCTAGAGGGCTCATTAGCTATGAACACAAAGAACAGAAATAGCTATACGGGCATCAGGTGATAATTATTTGACACGATTTCATTTCTTAACATTTGTTCTGTGTATGATGACACTGGACATCAAATCTCAAAAACCTTACCTGTTGTTTTTGAGTGGCTCTTCGTTGTTGTTCTTTTTCAAGTTCTTTCATTTGTTTTTTATGCAATTTTTCTTGTTGTCTGGCAAAGATTTCAGCCTCAAGCTTCAATGCCTCTTGTTTTTGCTCGTGCCAAATTTGGAGCTGAAGAGATAATCATCAACAGAGTTTGGAGAGAATAAATTAGGTTTTGATATTATCAGGGTTTTAAACATAATACTTTTGAAATAATAATAATATGTTGGTCTTACGTAGAGCAAACTGCAATGGAGACAGCTATGGGTTTATGTACTTAACATTACAGTAACTATTTCCCTTCACTTCATTTTATTAGCATATCAAGGAACATAGCAGCATAATATGCTGCTATACTATGCTGAATTAAAATGACAATTATCCGACTACCTTATGTCCAAGTTGCTGGCATATCTGTTTCTGATTTTGTCGGTCAATTGCCTTGATGTGTTCCAACTCTTTTGCTAGACAGGCATCGGCAAAAGTAGATGCTGCACGGTTGAATAACTCCTGTTTATCTCTTGCCCAACACTTAACCAACACTTTGCGCGTCTCGTTATAAAAGCGGTAACCAATAATCCATTCCTCATGAGCCACCTGTAAAATAAAAAAAAATAGTGTTTCCAGGAAACACCAAGTATTGCAAATAAAAATAAAACTACTGTATTTTCGATCATAAAAAACATGGATTGACAATGAATTATTTTTTTTTCTTGTGGGTACAAAAAATACATTTCATTCTGCTGGCCAAAATACAATATTTAATGATTTTGAATTATTTACAAATAATAATAAATGTAATTTATAATATTTAATCACTTTTAATATTTATTAATTTTTAATATTACACTATATTTTTAATAATATGTAAATTTATAATTGTCAATTTCATACTTTTGTAATTTATATTCAGTCACACATGCATGTATATGCTGCAATGGAATGTTTTGTATGTGGTTTTTTAATCAATAAGTATACCCAAATATTATAACCAAAATTTATGGAAAAGTATATTTTTTTAAATAGCTAACACACTTACAAGCTCTGCTCTTGTTTTATGCGGAAGAAATCTCTTCAACATGTCTAAATACAACACCCTTCGATTTGGAGAATTAGGTGGGTAGCGGTCAACAGTAGCCTGGAAAACAAAATGGTCATCTTCTTCCCATCCATCCATTGGACTTCTATTAAAACAATATAGAATATATATAAATAATATACAAAACTACATTAAATGTAAACTGTAGAAATCAAAACACTAAGACCTGCACTTGAAAAAAAAAAATGTTGTGTACAGAATACTTTCCTATTACATTTTGAAAGAAATAATTAAAAATAAATGAGTTTTTCATATTACACCAAAAGAGTATAACAAACAAGAGAGCCAAATAATCTCATTGAGATCATGAACAAACAATATGCCCTATGCAGCCAGCGTAGGATGCCTGCTGTCGTTTCACCCGCTCCCACCCGTGTACTGCACCATCTGATCTGTTTTCCACATGCAGTACTTTTTTCTACTTGCTGTACCAAGTTCCTAGTGGGCGTACAGGAACTCTGCACACGAGTACGCAAAGGAACGCAGGTGAACATACAACTGTCAGCGGGCGTGTGACGCTTTTACAAATGGGAGTACGCTGTCTTGTTCTATTTATACTATTTGGTTACACTTACTTTATAACATGTATATGTGTGGAGTCCAGATCTTTTAACTTTTGTTTGTAATACTCATCTAAAACTAAGAATTGCTCTAAAACTTGACTCCGCAATGTATCGTCCGGACATTCTAAAAACTCTGCTTCAACAGGAATACCCTCTACTACCATCTTGGTAGAGGGTGCTGTTACATCTTGCAAGTCTGATCTTTTCAGTTCAGCTTCAATGCAAAGCTGTTCATACATCAGTTTGTCAAGGATGTCCTTTTCTTGTAATTTTACACTATTGATTACTGAGCATATATTTTTATGCTGAGCCACTAGATTTTGACTTGGGTTCTTCAAATCAATTTCATTCTGCGACATCCAGGCTTGTAAATCGTCTCTCAAATTCCAAACAGGTTCAAGCGTTGCTGACTTGAATTCTTTTAACTCTTTTTCAAGTACTTCCAAATAATCTTCCACATCAAACATAAACATTGTTATTGATGAGTTTTCCAATGTGCCACCGTCGATGAATACTTCACAGTCACTGTCGGCCCTTTTACGCAAAGTCTCAAGTCGAGTACATTCTTTTAGCCATGCAGCCCGATGCTGCTTTAGTAGATTATTCTCACGATTAGCTTTTGAAAATGAAGATAATTTCTGCATCTTTAGTAGCATCCGGTTTCCTGAGACCTTTTTGTCAAGGGTGTAGGCTTTAAGTTTTTCATAATCTACTTGGGAATATTTACTGCTTCCAAGACCTTCTTTCATTCGTACCACAAGTTTATCTATTAAAAGAACCCAAAGAATCAAAGTTAGCAAAAAGAAAAACTACAATAAAATAAAAAAATAAAAAACGCCGACAACAAACCATATTAATTACCGGTTTCATCTTCTCTTGCAATCTCTTGTCTGCCAATTCTATGATTGGATAAAAACTTTCTCATATCACGGCCTGTCATCTTGACCTGGATAAAAAGTTAATAATTATTGTTAATCATTATGTAGTCTTTCCCAGGGTGTAGACTATTACTTTAACCTAACAATTTCACAAATATGAAAACAAACTTCGTGTGTTGCCTATAATTTTTGTATTTGATACACTACATTAATGAATTTCACACATTTATTTAGCAAACATTAAAATATATTATGAAATCAATTGTATTCTATTAATTTATTATGATCTTGCTTTGCATTTAATTATTTATATTTAAATTATTTTTAATATATTACTTTATTAAGTCAAGGCCTAGCTGCTACAGAATACGTTCGACGACCGCAGAAAGCTAGCTGTCTGTGACAGTATGGCCTAGCCTAGTCTTTATTGAGTGGCTACTAGCTAGGCCTAGGCATTATAAGCATTTATATTTGGGATGGAATGATGCTCAGAATGGACTGTGTATTATTTTCTTAGTAGCCCAGAAGGAATTTTTAAACAAATACAATACCTTTCGCCCTTGACAACATTACAACAAAAAACATCAGTCTAGCCTTCGAAGTTGTTCCTTCTTTTATTATTCTGAATAGCGCCACCATCAAACGAATATGGGACGCCGAAGATCTTTGAAGATCTTTGAGGGCCTCCAATTACTGTAATTTGGTTATGGCGCACACTGAGCGCAATATCATCTTCATGTTATTTCATTATTGACAAGTTAACTTGTATCTTGTATATTTATATGTACATCCTTGATTTATTCGGTTGAAGTAATATAATAATAATAATAATAATAATAATAATAATAATAATAATAATAATAATAATAATAATAATAAAAATAATAATAATAATAATTAATATTATAGTTATACAATAGAGCTGATTGTTTCATATATGTTTCTTAGCATCATTTAAAGAAATGTTTTCAAAGTTATGGTAAGGTAATGCTATGAAAAAAGTAGTAGGTTAAGGAATACTAATTTATCCATGTAGGCCTATATACAGCAAATTAATATTATACAAAAATGAAGACAATGAGAAGACATGATATTATAACAGCTGCAGGTGATGATCAATGTCTCTTAACTTTATCTGTATGAAATACTTGCTAGAATAGTAGTATACATATCAAAATCTTAATTAAATAATCATCACCATTATAACTAGACTTTTGTGGGCTATCCTTGTGTTTACACCGAATAAGTCCAATCCAATCCAATGCATACATTTTATATGTTAATAATAATTAGACGAAATATAGCACGGCAATATGACATTTTATCATCGACATGATTATTTTTTCTTTGTAGCTCCCAAAGTGTATTGGTTTAGCTTTAGCATTATTTCAACTTTGTTTGGAAACGCTTTTGGTACAATTGACCTTCAATTTACAATTAAATATATCAAAAACTTGCAACTTACAACAAGATTCATTAAAACCTAAATACCACAAGAGAAATTAAAATTTTCCAAGAAACATAGATACTGAATTACGATAATATAAATGGTAGTAACACAGAAATATTGTTTAATTCCGTAATAAAATTTGAAATAACATTATTGTGGATTTCAAGTGCTACAAAGGATCCACTAATTAGTCTGAAATAAAGACATAAGCTCGGAATTTGATTCAACTTCTCGATTTTTATTAAAAATTTTAATCAAGCACGGTGTAACATGACCATGACAAACTTGTATAAATAGATTGGCTGCCCTCTACAGTTTTAGTTGGTCATTGTCAGATGGATGCCCACCTGATGAATGTTTACGAGACGCGAGAGTGAGATGAAAGGGAGGCCGTCACCGCAACCCTTTGCATTCCGAACCCGTTGAGTCAACACACCGTACTGCGCTTGCCAAAAAGAAATCGATCAACCGTTCAGACTTGAATGCTGCCGAATTTTTTTACATGACGTGTTGTAAGTACTCTTTTCAAATGAAATTTCAATAATAAATAAACAAAATTGTATAAAACAGATTTGACCTGTAACTTGTAAGCCACTATAGAATAAGTACTTTATTATAATTGTTGTACAGAGGCCCCGCTAGTGAGGCCTAGCTTAGCTAGGCGAGTGACTCGGAGTAGCTCTAGCCTAGATGTTGTTATGCTAGGCAGGAAGGGAAACCACAACAAGTGGCTACATACAGTAATTTCATTGGTATGCCTTGTAAACAGAGAGGCGACAATAAGCATTCACCAAGCCAAAGCAGTCACAGCACACTTTCTGACCATTTTGGTTGTGGTGGATATAGCCTAGGGCCTAGGCCCCTAGAGGCCTAACTAAACCACAATAAATAATCATATTTGATAAAAGCTTTTAGAATAAAACATCCACTCTGTTTCTCAGCCATTCACTTTTTTAGGAAAAGAGTTAAAGTTTACATGTTCGCAACTTTGCAATAAATTGTTGTAACCTTTTGAAATTTTGCAAGATTGTATATCGACCCTATAGACATTGTGATTATTTAAAATTTTAATTACAACTGTTTGTTTATTGCAAAGTTATTAGCAATAATTACAGATACGTTGTATTGCCTCGGAAATATGTCTGGCCTGGTATTGTTGCAAGTACGACATATTTTGGAATTTATCAAGTTTGGGGCAACCATATGCAGTACCTAGCTTGTTCATACGTCGCTGTTAAGGTTATTGATATAAAAACACCAATAACCATTTGATTTTGCCTTGCCAAACTCAATCAGCTCGAGACAATTTTTGAATACCATTCCGAGGCAAAACAATGTATCTTCATCGTAGTCACATTGTTTTGCCCCATAACCTTGTAGTTACGTTGTTTTGCCACGGAAAATCACTAGATTTAAAGTTTTGTGATTAAAGTGGATAGGTGGTAAGCACTATCTCTGAAACGACTCGTCATTGAGACCTGAAATTTTCACAAGTAATTCAGACGTGTGTAATATATTCCAAATGATATTATCTGAAAATCAACAAAAATGTCAGTTACGTTATTTTGCCTTGGGACGGCCGCTTTTCAACAAGTGATAAGTCTAGCTAAGGCCAGGACTGTCAGTACCTGGAATACAGAGAATGTACACATTTGTCCAAAAAATCAATGTGGCTACTGGCCTAGTGTTATCTTTTTATATTTGACAGCTCTGTTTTTTGTGTCCAGAAATCAATGGTGCCCGTCTAGCCTATTCTATCATAATTACATATAATACTCGATGGCCTGTAAAACATGTGTTTACTATTCCTCAATATTAATTGGCAAATTGTTCCTCTATGCTAACAACTAAATTATGCCTACCTAATTATAAATTACAAATAAATTATAAATTAGTAGTTATCTATTTTGGAATAATTTTGGTTTACTTGTTAATTTTAATATAATACAATCATATTCATACATATATTTTTTAATTTATTACCATGCCTGCTCAGAAATATAAGTATAGATGTTAAAACCAAAGGACACAGGGGGAAGAGTGGAATAAATGTCATTTACTAAGGAATGTTGAAACTTGGTTAGAAAACAACAGGGGTAAAATTATCCCCTTTTTCTCACGACGACTGAACACTTCTTGCTCCAGTGCTTGTACAGTACATAGGCTATGATGAATCAACATTAAGCCTGTACTATATATTTTCTGAATTCAATCAGTTAATTAAAACAAAAATTAAATTGAGTTATAAATAAGTGAGGAATTCAGAGACAGATATTATGATACTAATTTCACTGAAACTTGTTCTAAAGTATGGCCACACCACCTCTGTTATTTAATAATGGATTGGCTCATTACATTCTCCTAATTGCATCCAAATGTTATGCTTTTTAACTTCTGTGCACATATTCTATTTTCAATCTAATATACTGTAGTATGCTTCATGTTCATACCAAATGGCACAACATATTTTTAAATACACATGTTTCCATTTTTATGAAATTACACAAATTCATACCATACCTTAAATATATACCACAAATTATACTAACTACTGTATCATTTGTGTCCTGATTTTCACACTTTTTGTAGGATTTATTGGAGTTTATGTTGATTGGAGCAACAACATTCACTGCACCAGGATCCAGTTACTGCACGTTTGCTTATGTTAGACTGCAACTTATGAAATGCATTCACTGACTAAACACAAGATAACAGTTTTTGACTTTTGATTTTTCAAATTAATTATAATGGATATTATAGAAACCAATTCATTGTAAGTACTAACAACAAATTTACCATTTTGGTGGTTTTTTTTTTTTTTTTGCATTTACTTTATTGTTATTTAAAGTTCTTTAGTTTTATCATGGTTATATTAACAAAATATGTATTATTTTTTTTCAATTTATGTTTATTTAATTTATTTAAATAGTTACTTGTTGATTCTACTTTATCAGTCATCATGGTTAAGCCATCATTTGCAAAATCGCCAATTCCTAACCCAAGCTGAATTTGGCTAATTAGCCAAAAAGCTATTAAATTCACTGTTTGTATTTTGGTTTATCTGCTAATCAAATTTCAATTTATAATGCTTTCATTTTCATACTAAATTTGCCAAATTGCTAAACATTAATTTTTCCATTTAAATGTTGCTCAATATCATATTAGAATGTATATTAATTTGCTTTTATTTTGATATTAATTTTTTATTTTTATTACTATATATTTATTTTCATTTAATAACTGAGAATCTGATATATAATGAGTATTTATTAAGTTATAACTTAGAAATTTTAGAATATTAATACATACAAAATTAAATATTCAGTTTGACTGTATATATTTTTAGATACAATACATACAGTGTCAATATGTAGTTATAGATCCAATTAAATGTCACAACAATAATTGTATTTAGAATAGTTTGTTTATCTTGTGTATATTTAATTGCGACATTTAGCTTCCATGGTACAGTTCAGTGTGCAACATTTCTGGGTGGCACTGAGAATATTCATGGTAAAAAGCCAGGTGCACTTGTTACATACAGACTTATCTTCTGGTATGCAACATTTATATTTATATAAGGTGTACTAATCTATCGTTATCTTTTTTCTTTGTAAAAAGATCAATAAAAGAGATCGCAATCTTTTTTTGAATTTATCTCTAACTTTCATTGCCAATGATCTATTCAATGTAATCATAATAGTGGTACTGTGGAGTCTAATCATTGTCGTTATAATAATCCAATATTATAACATATGTTGGAAAAATTCCAGCACTTTATTTTGTGGTTAAAATCTATAAAACCATCAAAAGAATTGAAATCTTAAATTGCTCATTTTAAAGAATTAAGTGACTGTAGTTGTCAACTGCCTGGGAGACGTAGCTTAAATATATACTTTCAAGTAGATATTCAGCCAATTTAAAGATCTGTGCATATTTAATGCATTTGTAAATATTTTAGAAAACAATTTTCTTGTTATAATTGATGATTAAAAACTTCCAAATAAATAATTCAGCTCCATCTCCAGAGAGCTTCATCCTCTGACACCCCTTTCCCAACAAGAATTCTTCTTTTGAACATCACCATAGCTGCTGGGTGAACTCCATACCTCAGCACTGTGAAAACCCCCTTTAAAGGATCTTGATTATGAAACTGATGTACTTTGATAAACATAAAATATTACCACAAAAATAAAATAAAGATGACCATATTTGTACCTGTGACCCACTGGTTTGTTCTTAATGCATTTCCAGCTCAGCAACTCTCCATGGTTACTTTTGAATGACAACCTGTAGAACAACAAAACGTTCTCAAACACCTCAAATAGCTGTTAAATCAGGTGAAACCATTGAAAGGCGAATGGATAAAGGAAGTTCATTCCATCAAACTCTTTCAATCGGAAAAAACTTCAGACAGAATATTTTAACCTGACATAACTTCTACGAGGCTTGTTATCTGCCCACGGTTTTTATTGTAGATGCATAATTAGAACGGATGTTTCTAACACCAAAATGTTTTCGTTCTAGTTCATTTTTCTCTATAAATTTTGCAGCTGCCAGTAGCTGATTCAGGATTTTGTTACCCGGGGACGGGTGGGTGGATGGGTGGGTACTGTAGTGGCAACAGAGGCTGTAGGCAAGTAGATGAGGTTGCTTGATGGAAGCACTACGCATGCGTATCACTAGGCAGGTGTCCATGAAAGTTTGGAAAAATGCATATTGATTGATCATAGAAAAAGAAAATTGATTGATTGATTGATTTAACTGATTGATAGAATTTATTCCGTATCAAATATAAATTAAATAAGAAAATTAATACAGTAATAATAGAAATACATTTCCTTGACTTAGATCACTAGGCCTACTTGTGTATTTTTTTACACAAACTAGGTCGAATACATAGTTCACACAAATTTTCACGCAACACACGCACGTCACCTCGGTCCCCGTCGTTGTGTGGTGGAGGTTCAAATTTTATTATGTAATTTATACTGTGATCTATAAAAAATTGAAACCATGATGGTAGTCCTAGAGTACCAGTAGACGATATTTTAATTACCAAAACACGCAGCAATTGCTGAGTGCTTAGACTTGGTGTAGGCAAATAGCTATAGGTACTTTAGACCAGACCATTTGACAGCACTACATCCGAAGCCCTGGCTACTCTAACATGTAAAATTCCTGGCACTTTCGATACCAGTTACATCTACGGGTGAATCTTAGGAGGTCATCCCGGCACTGCGGGGACACAACTATGTGTATGCCCCGGTTCAGTCCCGGCCAGTGTCCCGCTATAAGACCCGGGGTAGGGGGCGGGACTACAATTGGCAAGTGCATGATAAGGAAACATGCTCGCTGTCGAGACTTGTACAGTATGATACCAATTTTATGCTAATCCAATTTGATCATTGTGATATGTGTGAATTGCCATTGTATTGTAGGAAGGAGGTACTTTGAGTAGGAAGAGAGCAATTACACTATTCATGTGTGTAACTACAGTATTAGTCAAAGAATTGTTTTACGTCTTGCACTATAATATTCCAAGTCTTCGCATTGGTTAGTTGAAGTGTTGGGAATTTGTCCCTAACATCGCTGTTTTCTTTTTCCTGTCAAGGTATTGTACTAACTGCATCACATTTTATACAATTACTGTATTGTATTTTACATTTTTTCTTACCTGTAAGTGGCTGTTGGTGGAAATATATAAATAAAATTATAATTATTAACAATTTCTATATTGGCTAAGGGAAGGCACAGAAAAACATTTGATTTAATTCTTATATAATTTATTGTGTAAAGACCCATGTGAAAGAAGTGTTTTTACTAGGAACTTCAAAAGAAGACATAATAAAACCATGTAAATATCAATCTTATATTTATAAAATATTTTAATTTACTTATTTATTCAGTATAAAACACTCAAAATGCAATGAAAGTTAAAAATTATTGAGTTTACAAATTGTCTATTAACGTTTTCAAGTTGGAGTACAAATATTCAACCCAATCTGATAAACTGATCTGATTTTATAAGGAAATACTATAAAGAATATACTGTACACTAAGTAATATTATTATTAATAATTTGAATAGGAAGGTGAGAAGTCGTGTGGAAACGGCTGCTGTGTACTGCCGTGATGACGGCATTTGCAAATCGGCCAAAAATAACATCAAGTGTTGGTTGGGATTGGAATGTATTGTCAGATATCAAGAGGAGATCTTGTGATATGTATCTCATATATACTGTATCACATATTCTCCTTTCAATTTTATGATTTCAAAATATTTCATTTGTTATGATATATTCACTTTGTAAACAAAAAAAAGCATCTATGTTGAAAATCAGCCAAAAATAATATCAAGTATTGTTTGGGATTGGAATGTACGGTGTAGAGTGGAGATTCGTTGGCAAAAATCAGTCAGGCATGATTAATAAAATCATAGTAGAGAGTGCATGCATTCATTGGTGTTGAGAAAGAGCTTTCAAAATGAAAAGAATAGACATGTACATATCAAAAGAAAAGCAGTGTGGGTTGTTTGTTAAGAGGCACAATACTGCGGCTTAAACTTTACGTACGCCCCTTTCAGGAAAGACCCTGACAATATCTTTCTGTAGATAAGGTGCCTTAATTATACCTCGAGTAGTAGACTGTCAAGTTTATGTTCAAAGTTAACAGTTACTTTCCGCTTTGATATTCACAACGGTTGATTGTTTCTAGATTGTTTTTTTGTATTAAATAAATCTTCAACCTGCTAACCTGATCGTTCTTTGAACTTCTAATTTATATAAGAGGATATTAAGTCTTGGTAAGAGCTTTTGCAGCAGTTAATACCACTAGGCCTATAGAAGGAATAAAAAGGTTAATGTGAACGCCTGTACCAGGAACAAGACTTGACATTGTCCTTGATTCGCTTTGGGATCCTTGGATGTTGTTTGATTTTTACTTTCTGTCTTCAATATTAGCATGACTTGACGACTTTATGATTGTCAGCTCCAGTCTTATTATTGCGGAAATGTTTCCAACATAGTGTAATCCGTCCCTCCATCCTGGAAGTCTTCTGAAAGAATTAGTCAATTCTTGTACGGAAGGAGTTAGTAATCGATCACCATTCGCTAAATAAGTGTGAACTTCTACAAAATCTGTGCGTGTGATTTGAGGCAATTTTGCTAATTGATAGTATTTCTGTTACTTAAATTAATTTTTATTACGATGCCTGGAAGAAAAAGGAGCATCAAATCGAGACTGTAAGTACCCAATATCAGAAATATTTAAAATATTCAAAATTAAATCTGTTACAATTTTACATTCATGTTTGTGGTGTGTTTATTACTGTATAGAATGGTTAGATGGTGTATAAATAATTCAGAGCCTGCTGGCTTAAAGGTAAACCAGCTATTTATGTTTAGTCGAGCAAGATTAATTTAACAAGTTATTAACAACAAGCAATTCTGTCAATGCATATAAATTAATATTTCACATTATGATTATTATTTACTACTCTTGTGTTATTGAATTGTCATATTAAATGAGTGCAACAGAATCATCATTTGCAAATAATAAATGTTACTGCTGCTGTAGAGATAAATTAAACAACAGGGCATGCCCTAACTTTTTTTGGTAACTAGCCCACTGGGCTAGTTTACTAGAGATTTTACTAGCCCACAGAATATTTTACTAGACCACAGACAGGAAAAAATTTTGTTTCTAAATATTTATTAGCGACAATTAAATTTGAAGGTTGATTTGCAATTTCATAATTTCTGTAGCATTGCTGTTTGAGCTACCCTCTCAAAATTTTGTTGAATAAATAAATTTAAAAAAAATCACCCATGCTGCAAAATCGACTCTGGTTATAACAGGGACAGATGAGCATGTTTTACATCTCCCTGGTTATAACTTTGGCTTTCTAATATTTAACAAAGGGCCCAGAAATCAATCGAACCAATGCATCTGTTAAATATTTAGGTCTCAAGTCACTCACCTCTAATGGCAATAAATCTTGCTTAGGCTACCTAGGCTAGGCTAGGCCTAGACAAGACCTAGGGCCTAGGCTAGCCTAGCCTACCTATAGCATTGAAGTACTTATTATTAAAAGTTGAACATTTAAAAAATATCATTATATCAAAATAATATGAATATAAGGTAGTAATAAAATTAAATGTTCTAACTACCTAAATTAACATGCCATCCTCCTGTAGTGGTTGGTGAATGACTTGGGATCATCTTAATAATTAAACACTCACGCATGTGGAGAGCTGAAAGCTAGCTAGAGTGTACTCTCTGTGCTGCGGTACCTCCTGTGCAGAGATTGTCTCGAAAGTTCCGCTTTTTTTATTTTTTTATTTTAAAGAAAATGTTTTTCTTGCTAATTCTCCACTAGAAACCGGGCAACATGAGGAGTAAATAGGCTAGCCCGGAGCGGTTTTTACTAGACATTGTACGCCGGGCTAGTACTAAATCGAGCCCTGAACAATTTAAAGCCCTTAGCAATTTTTTGCTGAATGAGCATTTTGAAAAAAAAAATTGACCCTGACAGGTTATAGGTATGCATGTATTTCTAAAAGATTGTCTAACTGTACTGACACTGCATATCTTGTAAAATAGAAAATAGTCAACAAGTCATTAAATTAGCAGTTCCCACAATGTAGATAAATATAATATTTCATTTTATTATCTATCAATTATCTACTTGTCCATTGTGGTAAGTGAATGCAATCAGTGTTATCATTCTGCAAATAATAAATATGTTTGCTGCTGTAGTGGAAAGATAATGTTGTAAAAATCTATTGGCCCACAGCAAATTCCTGTTGATAAAGGATTTAATTGAAAAGAAAAACTAATCCCATAAAGGTTACAAGAATGGTTTGTAAATCTGAAAGTAAGTAAAAAAAAAAAAATAACCTAAGCGGCAGGACAAAAAAAGATCGAGATGGGGATGAGTAACATGCTTTTTTGAATTTGACCTTACAGACGGTCTGGTTTCGCAGTATGACTTCCATTGAAGTCTTGCAAACAACAGGTTCAACGTATAAACCAACACAGTACTGTAGGTCTTATAGGTGGTGTGCTGTATGTTTTGCATAAAATACTCAAGTGCACGACTAACAACATATTATAAGTTAAGTAGGCGTTATATGTATCGTTTCTTGATCTTACACCAGTGTTCACTTGTTCGTTATTCAGCAGCTGTTGTCGTGTTTAATGGTCAGTGGTTCAACTTGTTGAATGCAAAACGTAGTTTGGATGTACATTTAACATGTTGTGCCAACATCTGCTTTTGTGCAAACTGTGGTATTGTAAATAGTAACATAATTGGTCTTCATAAATAGAGGTAATCAAATCAAAATTGAATCTTTTATTTTGGAAAAATATTGTCCATATTATAGTACAGTACAAAATAATATATAGAAAAATAAAAAGAATATGAAAAATTGAACTAACAATTCAAAAACCTACGACCAAAATAGCTTTATAAATTAATTAAAAGAAACCAAACAGTTTTCAAATATTCATAGTAAAATCAAATCAACATACATAATGAAGGAAAATATATTAAATTATATGAAAATTGAAATTGTAAAAATGATTGAATTTCCAAAATAGTTAATATGCTTGTAGAATTTTAATTTTACAAGGTACTGTAGGTAGGAGAATAACCCATAACTCACAGTGTCATAAGAAAGTATAATACATACTCCAAGTATTGAAATTCACGCCATCGTGTTGGGATTCAATATTTCGACATTAATTATGTCGTCATCATTCCTGATGACGACCTAATTAATGTCGAAATATTGAATCCCGTCACGATGGCGTGAATTTCGATACTTGGAGTATGTATTATACTTTCTTATCTGTGATTAATCAGTGGACCTTTCGGTTTTCACAGTGTCATTGTGTACTGAATTGCAAATAAATGAATTCGTAATTACCATGTTTGTTTTAATGTTAAAGGTTGAGTTAAATTTTTATTCTTTTGTCTTTGATTGCATGTACTAAGGGTCCCAGTTGATCAGCTCTGGCTCGATGGAACACCCTCACAAAATATTGTTGAAAAAAATAAAAAATAAAATATAATGTGTTCTTTTCATTAACACACAGTAATATTGACTAACAAACTACATTATTTTTAAAAAGGGGAAAGCTGTTGTAATTAAATATAACTAATTTTATACAGGCATAATTCACTTGTTTTAAATCAAAAGAAAAATACTATATTTAATTAAATACAGCAATTTTGTGATGTTTTTGATTAAATTATCAATTTGATCAAAATGTACTAACCCTTACTGTAAATGATAACTTCCATTAGAAAAAATTCCCAAGGAAAATCCAAGTTTAAATGCATTTCCCATAATTTGTAAGTGGGAAACCTTAAAATCCTGATATTTAGCCTTTTATTTGACGTCTCGATATTTTACTACGACTGACTCAGCCACTCTGTATCCTGTAGAGAACGTACTACCTGTGTTTGAACTGTGTTTCCATTTTCATAAACTTGTAAATTTTGAAAAACTGTTTCTGACCTAGTATAGCAAGTTGTGCAAGGAATCACTGTGACTATTGTGGGAATTGAACCTGTAACCATTGAAGATACAGTAACGCCTTGCCAAATGTTCCATATATTGTGACCTGTACTATACTTGTATCGCATGGAAAGCCTTCTGTTGTATTGTAGACTTTTTATTTTATTTCTATTTATTAATCTAGAGAAGGGTTATTAGCTCAAAAGGATCGCAATGGGGAAATTTTCTGACCTGTGTGTCTTATTCTTATTATCTCCCCCCCCCTGCAAATCCCCACACACAGATGGAATTAGCTTTCATAAAGAAAATTGAGCATTTACTTATTTGTGGTTCCTGTTGTGTACATTTGCTAAGTGGAAAGGATTGTACTAAACGGAAGGTAACCAAATCTCAATCCCATTACAATAGTGCATTATATCTTCACAATCTGTACTGTATCTCATCTAGTGTAAAACCTTAATAATAATATTTTCACATTTTTCCTTGTATGATGTAATTGATTTTTCCTATACCTCCCTTGATAATTTATTTGGACTGCTATTTATAGACACCATCTTATTGTCGTGGCACTGTTTTGTTATTTTTTTTTTCAGACAACTGCAATTAAATTTTCTTGTCATATTACATCATTATGTGTAAGAATTGAAATTGTTTAAATTTTCTTGCACATACAGTACAGTAATGTTTAGATCTAGGAGTCTTGAAGTGGGGGATGATGGGGGCGCGAAGGTGAATTGGGGCTGGATGATAAGGTGAAGGGGGCTAGCATCCAAAATAAAGTTATTTTTAGTTTTTTTTTAACTACTTGAGCTTGATTTTTTGGGGTTGGGGACGACTGGGTGAGTATGAGTATTTTTTGGGGACATGCACCCCCACATACCCCTATATTCGCTACTGATATAGTATACAGTAATAATATAGAGAATGACATTTATCTATTGGAGGTGTGGTGGATGATGGAGTATTTTACAGTAGTATGTATCAACTTGTCATCAAACATTGAATGTTACTCATTTCCTAGCATCTGTTTTATTTAAACAGATTTATGATATTTATGTTATTGCCAAAGCATTGTTTTATCATAATTTGTATTTAAAAATAAGCATCGTTATACATTGACATTAATAAACATGATTAGTATTTAGGTCCAAGAATAAATTGTTTACATATAATATCTATACAGCAATAATGAAAATAATAATAATTTTTTATAATTTTTTTTAAATGTCTTCAATTTTAATTTTAGAACTGTGATACATTATTATATTTATGTTTATTTTGCAATTTTCAATTGTAAGTGGCAACAAAGTATTTCTATTGGACGATTTTTGAAATAAATAAATAACAAATTGTCTTTGTCAAACTACATGTTAGCTTGACATATTAGTAAGTTTAATAAGCCTTCAATTCAATTGAAAATTAACTAGAAAATATTATTCCTTGCCAATTAACGCATAAGTGATACGATTCCTGTATTCTTTCATATTTACTCTTCAATCAATAGTAAAGATTTTTGTGGTAAAAACTCTGTGAAACTGAATTGTTTTAATTTGTTTATCATTAAAATTTTATAATAAATTATATATTTTTTTAAAAATTTTAAATAAGCAAAGTTTATATTTGACTGATTTTTTTTTTTTTTCAAATTTGAATACAGATGATACTTTAAAAAAAAATTATTGATTATGCATACTTTGATTTTACTATCTGAACTTCAG